AGGCTTGGCTCAAATGACACTCCAGGAATGAGTGACCTGTGTATCAGCAAAGAGGGAAGCCTCCTCACTTGACTTAGCTTCAATATTACGCATCGTAGGGATATTCTTCCATGGTTACTGTTTCAGGCAGCAGGCAAGCTATCTAGTTTCCGTTAAAGCCTAGGATAGTGGCCATCTCCTGGTCACTCATCTGGAAGTCAAAGACCTGAAAGTTCTTATGTATACGTGCAGGTGTCACAGACTTGGAGATCACCGCCTCTATTCTCTGGATGTGGAACCCAACCAAAACCTGGGCTAAGGTTTTCTTGTGGTTTGTAGCTATATCTTTGATCTTTGGGTCCTCTAGGAGTGAAGGGTCTTCTGGCTTGGCCTAAGGGCTATCTGGGGAGCCCAGGAGACTGTAGGCTGTGACAGTGATACCCTTGGAGTGAACATATTGGATCAGATTTTCCTGAGTGAGGTATGAATGAAACTCGACCTGGTTAGGTACTGGCTTATGTTTCAATGCAGGCTTGTTCAGTATCCTTTCAATCTGGAACTGGTTGAAGTTGGAGACCCTTCATCCACCAGTTCCTCCATGACCTCCCAGACATCCAAGAATGTTATTTTGCTGGTGAGGACATTGCCTTGATCATCTTTCGGGAATAACTCCTTTTCTGGCTGAAGTCCCTACGGCCAGTGAATAAGATAGGAGTCCTTATAGTCCATTTTCAGGTCCGTGAGGGTCTTCTGGAAGGCCTCCTTTAGCAGTTATCTCTCAAATCAGGTGGGCCACAGCTGTCTGACAATGAAGAGGTCCTCCTCACAGCCTTTTCTTTGATCTTCTCTTGAATGGCTTCCCCTACTTCATGTACATTGTAATACGCATATGCACAATTAATATGTCGATATCCAGCATCAGTGGCCAACTTCGCAGCTTCCTTGACTTTCCCTGGGGGATCCTGCCAGGTGTCTGGGCCAACAATGGGCATCTTGGCTTTGGTACTGAGCTCCACAAAGGTGGACATGGTTGCTGTTGAAAATTCCCTGAGAGAGCAGAGGTCCATGTGCTCAGATTTTGTGGGTTTTTTGTTTTGATTTTTTTCTAATTTGCTTGTGTGTGTGTGTGTGTGTGTGTGTGTGTGTGTGTGTGTGTGCCTGTTTGGTTTCTAAGATAGAGAGAAAGGACACGGAAGTAGGTGTATGGGGAGGTGGAAACCTCCTTGGAAGTGCTGTAGTTAACTCACAAGAAAAAGAACACTCAAGCATAGTTTATAACAAATTGGTAGCCTTTATTCCAGCTGCCTGGGTCCACACTCAAGTGTTAGGGAATTAGGTGTGGCCCCAGTTTCCAGAATGGCATCATTTTCAATATCCCCTTGTCACCCTTTGTTCTTGTATAAACTTAAAATATCTTCTCCCTAGCATTTTCTTGAAACTAAGGAATCAATTGTGAGGTTAGATTACAGAGCCAAGGAAAAATAACATGGCAATTATCCTTTTAATTGTCATAAAAGTGAAAATCTCTTGAGGAGCTTTGCATTTGAAGTATAAATAAATAAACAAACCTGTCCTTTTGTGTGGCTTTTGATGACTTTAAATAGCCTTAATACTTCTTAGTGTATGAGTTATCCAGTATTTATGAATATCATTTAAGAATATGTGCAACAAAAACTAAAGATTTAAAGTTAGAGAAGATAAATATAGAGTTAAAATTATTAGATTATTTTAGATATGAAGACTTTGAAGACTATATAGTCCTGATATCAACATTTTCTGAGAATGTAATAGATTGTAACCTTCAAGGTGATTATTTCTATTTGTATAAACAGCTATTGTTTAACAAAAGATTATTATTATTAATTATTAGCCAACTATTAGAATATGACATTTTTCTATTTTTATAGAATAGTATTCAATGATATTAAATATCTCAAATAATTCATCACATTTTAACTTTAGTTTATGGCATTTATGTCATGGGCCACTTAGTGACCTCTGATACTTGACAAAGTTCCCGTATCTCAACATTGTGTATCACATTTCTCTAGCACCTCTTTTCCTTCACTTAAATGATTTTCAATGTGTGTTATAGGAGTTTCCTCATGCCTTTTCCTTTGAGAAATTTTATAAAGGCTTTGCTGGAGGATGAAAATGTATACAATAGCAGTCTCCTTAAACAAAATAATTCTCTGGAAAAAAGTCCCATCACCTTGTAAACATAGTGTGATAACTGCCTACTCCACACAAGAATCCCCATTGTGCATGCCTGGTTACAGCAATAATAGAGAAGTTAAAGATTTACTAACTGGTCACACCTGGTCCCACGGATAAAAATAACCACTTGAAAAACATTGAACCCAGACCCAGACCCTGTTGCCAGAGTTCAGTTAATAAGTAAAGAGTAGTGCCCATGATTGTGACTTACTAGATGACTAACAAGATCTGTTCTTCCCCATGGGTAAAACAATTAAAAAGTTATAGTGGCTTGATCCCACACAAATACAGAAACATACACAGAAGAAATCAGAATGGTACAGTATAATGAATAAAGAGAAAGATGTCAGGCCCTTCCCTTTTGGGAGCTTAGGAGGAGAACAGGGTCATATTATAAGACTAAGGCACTAAGGAATGCAGTTACTAAGAAAATCAATGTTTATTACATCACCTGGTAAAAACACTCTACCACATTCCTTGAGGAGTAAAAATTGCTCTAATGAGTTTGTTTCTCAAGACCCAATGACTGACATCTCCTGACTACAGAGGCTGATACCAGACCATGCAGGAGGAAATATAAGAGGGTGCCTGGCAGGGCTACTGAACCTTAAAGGACAATAGATTTGTGCAAAACTTACTGCTTTTTTCTTCGCAAAAACTACTGTGATGGCATTGATGACCATGTTCCACCCCAGAATCATAAAATTTACTTTCAATATTGCTTATGTTTAAACTCTAATGTTGTTATAGAGTATAAAAGCTATAGCATATTGTCAATAAATGGATAGACATTCTGATTGACCATAAAACTCTGGCATTCTTCACACTTCCTCTTTGGGACCTAAATCCCACTGGACCTGGACCCTGGCAGATTTATATATTAAGGGTGGGAGGGACCTTAGACTGAGACTAATTCACACATATATTTTGACTACAAGACTATAGATTGGTTAGGCGATGTACTACTTTGTCCAGATATTCAAAAATACTTTTTAAATTTTTTTGTAAAGTACTAAGGTATGGCATTGGCAAGAAAAATCCAGCTAGTGTTGGCTCTAATGAGAATGCATGCTTCACAATATGGTGTATTCCTCCAGCCAGATCCGCAGATCCATCCTGCTGGCAACAATATTGCTCAACCTGCACATATTCCCACAGCAGGTTCCAAGAACTGGCAGAAATCTTTAGTCCTTGGCAGCTGTTACTTTAAGAAATTGTCCCCACCTCTTTTCAGTTTAATTTGCAACATTATATAGCATTAGATGCCTTTTACTCATATGTTTCTATTTACCTTTAAACTTTTTAACTGGAAGGCCTTTTACATGCAATGATTCTTTTTGAGATATAAATACTTTTTTCAGAAGCTTTTAATAAAAGATAATACTCCAAGCATTCAAGCATATTTGTAGATGGCATCTCACTCAATGAAGCATTTCAATAGGAATTTTACTCTTTGGAATAATGATAAGACACTTTTTAGGAACTTTAAAGACTATATACATTCTCATTCTGGAGATGTGTATGTTAATTTGCTACTTGAGGAAAGAAGAAGATAATTTTAAGTCAAGGAAAATTTTTTAAAAGCAATTTATCTTTAAGCTTCTGGGCAATCCAAAACCTTTTTAGATCATATTTTTCTAGGGTACATATAGTGAATTCATATTTGAATAAGTATATTGTGTGGTTAGCATTAATATAATACACCTTTTATTTTTATAACAGAATCAAATATCCACTTTGCTTTTCTAGGAAAATATATAATGAGATGTATGAAAATTCTGACATCACTAGAATATTTTTCAACATATGTAAATTGTTGTGTCTTTGAAATACTGTTCAAAGCACTGGCAGTGTAAATATTTATGACACCAAATGAAGCTAAATACTGATGTATTCTTATAAATTCAAAGATTAGATAAAATTTAGCTGTTAATTGTAGTAATAAAGAAGACAAATTCAACTCATCAAATTGGAAGTTGAAGCTCCTCAAATTGAAAGAAAATTCTGTATTGCCAAAAGGTGCTGGCTCACACACATTTAAGCTAATCTCTGTGAGTTCAAGGCCAGCCTGGTAGCCTGGTACATAGAACAAGTACCAGGACAACCAGAGCTACACAGAGATACCCAGTCTGGAAAAACCAAAAAAAAATTAAAAAAAAAAAAAAAAAAGAAAGAAAAAAAAAAAAAGAAAAGAAAAAGTCTACCAGATTTACAGTGTGAAATCTAGGAACTGTACACACAGTGTTATATTTCTGCTTTCTCTTTCTTATTTATACTTAGATGAAGACTAAGGAAACATTTTTAAATGTTTTCTAAATATTTTATAATTTTACATAAATAATAAGTATATTTTAGTTTAATTTTTAGTCAAAAAAATTAGTGAGCCTTTTATCCTTAACTAATACAAGTAAGAAGCTCACAATAGTCACATTATGTTTATAGTAGAACAAAGCCGAAATATGAAGTGGTGGAGTACTAGAAAACATAAATGGAGCTAAGTGTAAATGACCAGTAACCACAGACATCAAACACAGCTCTCACACACATTATTATTACAAAACTAGGGTTTGTATTCATTTATCCTGTTTGTTACTTGTTTTTTTTTTTTTTTTTTTTTTTTTTTTTTGAAAATACTATCTTATGTAGCCCAGCCCAGGATGGCTTCAAACCTGTTTTTTAGTGGTGACTTGAACACCTAATAATCCTGCTTTTATTCTCTAAATCATGGTGTGTATGGCAGGGCAGAGGTGGTGAATGTGCCCCTAAAGTCAACTGATTTATCTTTTATTCTGTGATTTTGTTCACTAAACATTAATTTCAACAGGAATCATTTACATATGCTTATGTAGGGGCTATGCTAATCTTTAATGTATCATTCCAATTTTAGTGTATGTGCAGCTAAAGTGTGTGCCCTCTCACATATTCTTAAACTTAATTTTGAAAAGAACACTATTCTGAGGGAGAGTTGCCTTTTCTTTTCCTGGAGAGATATGAATGAATGCCTCTTCATTGCAGAAGAGGCCTTCTGTCGAGTTATTCCATTTATGTCCAAATTAATGAACCAATAGGTTGATTGGCCAGAGGGAAAGAACCTTTGAAGTTTTTTGAGAGGATTTGTTCATCTCAGTAAAAATTTTATCCAAGCAATTTTATATTTCCAATTGAATCTAATATTCAGCTATTCATCTGTGAAGTATGAAAATATTACATATATATATTTAATACCTAGTACACTGGCAATACATGTACCAAAGATGATAGGCAACATTATTTTGGATCTTACTATAAATAATTTGACAAATGATTTTACATTCAGTTTTATTAGAGTAAATATGGTTAGAATATCAATGTTAATGTTTCTTTTTGAAAATAACTGTGCGTGCGTGTTTCTGTGTTTGTGTGTGTGTGTTTGTGTGTTCATGAGATTAAATGCAGGCAGATGTATGCTATGGTGTTATGTTAAGTTAAGCAGATCAGAGGATGATGTTCAGTGTTGGTTTTTGTCTTTAATTTTGTTTGACATGAAGTCTAATTTTCTTCAGTGTCTCTAACACATTATTTGGACCATAACATTCAGAGAATTTGCTTCTGCATCCCATTTTTCCCTAGGTTTTCTGAGATAAAGACATGTACAACCATGTCCAGCATGATCCAGATTTTGTAAACAGAAATTCAGATGATTTAATTTGTGTGTCAACTGCTCTACTACATAGCGGAGACTAAATTTGAGTAATTTTTCCAGTACATATATTTTTTAATATTGGAACTAAATTTAAGAAATTCAATGTAATATTACTTATCTTGGTATTTCAGATGTCCTCAAAACCCCATCACATATGGTAAGTGCTTATCTAGTCATCAACTGCATAAAGTTCACAGTTCACTGGAATTTTATTTATTGTGTGAGTATTTTGATATAATCTTTATATATTAAAAAGCAGCGATTTTAAGACAAACAAAGTGAACAGGATGGGACCACATGCAATCCCTGGGTGAGGAAACTCCAAGGAGTCAGAGAAGGTGGGCAGAAGGTACTCACCTCTCCCAGCGGGCGCAAGCAGGACCAAGACTCCTCTGGGAATTGTTCAACATATCCATAGTTATTAGGGGGCAGTGAGTGGAGAGGGAACTAGAGTATTCGTTCTTATAAATATTTTTATAAATTCATTTTTAATGAAGGTGGTGTTATGTAATAAATTGGAACTTATTTACAGTAATATTTTAACTTTTTCAGAAGATATTACAGATTAGTGTAACAGATTTTAATTTTGTTTCTTACTAGAAGTTTGCACAATTATTTTGAACAGAGGTTTCACCTCATAAATATCTCTTTTTTTCTCCACTTTTGTTCATTATTTACTGTACATGGCTTAGGTATCCTAACCAAATTTTTCCTTCTTCTCAAATTAAAATTTTATAACCCTGTATTTTTGCATTTGTTTTCAAATTCTTCAATGAAGGTAAGAGAGAAAGAGACACACAAATAGATTTAAATAATCTGTCTTTTGGTTCAAATAGAAAAACCTATAAATTCTGTAGACCACGGCATTTACTGAATGGCTTGTGAATGAACAGTCTCTGATAATTTTAACAACGATTTCACTTGAGTCTAAAGTATGGCTTTACTAAGGAGTCAACAGAAATTTACTTAGTTGAACTCTACATTTTAAGAGTTGAGTTCTTCTAAAGTATCATCAGAAATATATGGAATTCATATGGCTGAGGATTAGAGATGAAAGAGGTAGGAGACTCTCAAATCTAGTCATATTGTCTGACACCTCAGGTTGGATGCCAATATGAGTAATTAATAAAGTACCTGATGCAAAAGAAAAATCTTCCAAATGCAATACTGTAGAACACTTAAACATGTAATTGTCTTGCCACAGTTACATACAAAATAAGTTGTAATTCCTAAATGCATATAGTCAAACAGATGTAGATGTGTTTATTTTCTAGGGTAATTAAGTCTCACTGGTCTATAAACTTCTACATACCTTCAGTTAACAAAATGATTCAATTGTATCAAAGTAACTGAATCCATGAAAGGACAATACTTTAAAAATAGATTATAACTAAATGCTGGAATCAAAACATATTATTTGCATAGTTTGTAAAATAACAACAAAAATGTCTAAGACATAAAGGCTCTTTAAGTTAGAATAAAACCTATAAACCCAATATTTAAAATATAAAAACTGGAATTAAGTAAAGGTAATTAATGCCAATAGGGTAGGGCTATTCAAAAAATTTTAAGAAAACACCAGCCTTCCAAGGTTGTCTAGATCAAATAGTTTATGTTGCAAAGGAAAACTGTTTTGACATAGTTTGATAATAAAATAATAAAATTAAATTGTAAGGGTAAGGAGATACCAGAAGATATTAAACAAATACCAGTGGGATTAAGGCACTGCTATCTCTATCTCTTTCCATCAATCATTGAATTTACTACATACATACATAATACATGCATATGCATACATATATACATGTATGCAGACAAACACACACACACATAAGTTAACTTCAGTTATATACTTCTATGTGATTGGAATATCTTTTTTTAATTTATTATTTTACATGTCAATCCTAGTTCCCTCTCCCTCCCTCCCTTTACCTCTCTGCCCCCTTCACATGCACCCTGACCCACCTCCCCTCCTATCCCCCCACCCCAATTCCACATGTAGGGCAATGCCATCCAGGTGGGGTCATGTAGATCTGACAGGTCATTTGAAGTAGGGACAAGGACTTCTCACCTGTCTCTAGGTTAAGACAGTATCACTCCATGGGTGATGTGTTTGCAAGGTCCTTATGTGCAACAGGGATATAGCCTGGCTCCACTGTCTGAGGTCCCTTACACTGCTCAAGCCTTCTGGCTGAGACCCATATTCAGGGGGACCTGAGTCAGATCCATTCTCAATAGAAGAAATCAAAAAGGCTGAAAGATATTTAAGAAAGTGCTCAACATCCTTAGCTATCAGGGAAATGCAAATCAAAACAACTTTGAGATACCATCTTACTCCTGCCAGAATGGCTAAAATTAGAAACACCAATGAAAACTTATGCTGGAGAGGATGTGGAGGAAGGGGGACACTCCTCCACTGCTGGTGGGAATGAAAAATCATACAGCCATTTTGGAAATCAGTATGGTGGCTCCTCAGGAAAATGGCAATTAATTTACCACAGGACCCAGCAATCCTCCTCTTAAGCATATACCCAAATGATCCACATCCATGCAACAAAGTCACCTGCTCAACTATGTTCATAGCAGCATTATTTGTAATAGCAAGAACCTGGAAGCAACCTAGATGCCCCTCAATTGAAGAATGGATAATGAAGATGTGGCACATCTACACAATGGAATACTACTCTGCAGAAAAAAAAAAAGTAATGGAATGTTGAAATTCGCAGGCAAGTAGATGGCACTTGAAGAAACCATCCTGAATGAGGTAACCCAGTCAAAAAAAAGAGCTGGAGCAAAGGATCACCAGCCTATAATTCACACCACCAGAGGAACTAGGATACAAGGTATATTCTAAGAGATCCATATAAAGTCCTTTATAGAAGGGGGAATGGACAAGTTCCCCAGAGCACATGGGAAGTGGGGATGGGCAGTGAATGGGGAGAGAAGTAGGAGAAAGAGTGGGGGAGGAGAGGAAAGCATGTGCGACTAGGAAGATAGCCTCATGGTAGAAATAGAAGACAGAAGAGAGAGAGAGAAAACATAAAAGAGAGAGCCATTATTGATTTGAAGAGAAAAATGAACCTAGAGAAAGGTCTAGAGACCCGCAAGACTGCTGCCAACTAACAATTTGAGCAACCATGGAAAGGCTACCATAAATGCCCTTCCTGGATGGTGAGATCAACAACTAACTTGTCCATGGATCCCTCATCTAATACCTGTTGGAAACAGAAGCAAACACACATACCTAAACACTGAGTCAAACTAGAATCCAGATGCAGATGGCATGTTTTTTTGACTGCAGTTTTCTCTTAATTCATTAATGACAAACTTGGAAAAATATTCTGTTAAAGTAATAATGTAGGCCATTGACTGAATATTGAAGAATAATAAACTAGGCAAGAAGAATGAACCACAAATATGTTGTGACATATTTGTGTGTGTGTGTGTGTGTCTGTCTGTCTGTCTGTGTGTGTGTGTGTGTGTGTGTGTGTGTGTGTAGTACTAATATGTGAGATAATTTTCATAATGTACTTTGAAGAAGGATGATGAATTGGTCTTAAACCATGTAGCAAATTGTTTAGTATTTTCTATCTTGAAGTTTTGGTTCTTGATTTCAGAGTTGAAATTATTTTTAAATGTATTGCTTTGGGAATTAAGGAATTAGCAGCTCTCATTCATTGGTCCTCAATGGTATATGGCTTGAAATTCACCACTCTTGAGACAGAGGCAAACAGACCTCTATGAAATTTCGTTCAACTTCTATATATCTAGTTCTGGGAACTCAAAATTACACATTATGACTTGACCTCAAAAATTAAAAAAAAATAAATAAAATAAAGTGAATGAAATAAAATAAAGGAAATGGAATAAAAAGTTGAATTAAAATTTGAGGGTATGCTTACTTTAAAATATTCATATAATCACGATCGCTGTAACAGCATTATGTTCTCCAATTTTGGTTAGTTAGTCAGTATGCATATTCAGATTCTTTGGAAACAGGAATTAAGACAGCTTTTTACCTAATAAATAGTGTTATTTCTGAATATCATTACATGTACTTTTGATTAACATCTGAATTTTCACTAATTAAACTTGAATTCTAATGAGAATATCTCAGATTTGAAAATCACACATTCTTGTGTGCTTCCTATTGTAATGAAAAATTATTCTTTAAAAGCTATCTAATTGATTTCTATAGTTGTAATGGAAATTCTAACTGTAGAGCTCAGTC